GTCGTGGGTTCGGTTCCTGGCGGGGGCCAGATTTTTTTTCAAAAATGACCTTGGCTCCCAGGTCAACCCAGTCTTGAGTGGGTATGAGGTGCAGTAAAGGCGGCCGGCACGATGCTGACCACATCACCCACCAAGTGCCGTTTGGTCTATAAAATATAGGTCTAGCCCTATATACCCAATATACCCGGTCAAAATGGACGTTAGGCAGCGGCACTGTTCGAAACAGACGGTGGCCGATGCATTTTTGCTCCATTTGTAGACTGGATATAGTTTTGTCGCCCAGCTTCTGAGTTGAATGCATGGCGTGACCCTGTGAGCTGCGGATTGCATTTGGAATGTTTTTTCGACTGTGACCAACGTGGTGGTGTGAATTGTAGATTCAGAAAATGGCGCGATGTCTGTCGTGCAGTGTTGTGGTGCCCGTATGTGATTAAAATTGATCGCGTGGGCAACGGCTGATTTGTTGGCGACTTCTGCTACCATCAATGATGAACTGCAATTCTAATACTATGATAAATACGTTGGCACAGGAGCGGAGCAAAGATGGGGTGACCCGTTTGCTATGAAGCTGAAACTAAGACTACCAGACCAGACCAGACTACCAGATCAGACCAGACTACCAGATCAGACCAGACCAGACCAGACTACCAGACCAGACCAGACTACCAGACCAGACCAGACTACCAGATCAGACCAGACTACCAGACCAGACCAGACCACCAGACCAGACTACCAGACCAGACCAGACTACCAGACCAGACCAGACTACCAGACCAGACCAGACTACCAGACCCAATATGCCTCAAAGGCATGGAAAAGGGTCCTTTACTTTTCTTGTGTAGCCAAAAAATGAGTAACCTAAATGCTAAAGCAACGTTCCCCCGCTGTAAATCTGAACAAAGAAGACACAAACAATTACTGCGCAATGAATTTCCAGGAAATGTCATTGCATCTCACCAGGCGCATACTGCAGTTACAGTTGAATATATCACTTGGATAAAGTGCTTTCACCTAAAATTGTGCAGACAAAAAGACATCGTTGTGAACCTGCATTTTCCTTAGAAAAACAGGCAGTTAATTTTGAGTGTAGTTTAGTTTGTATTTCAGTTACAATGATTCATTTAGCTGCTTCGTTATATGCATAAACAAAATGCACAAAAAGTAGCGAAATGCATGACTTAAGTAGCTGCCATAATTTGACGTCACCCCCAACTTCTTCCTCTTCTTCTTTGCATTCACAGGCTTTGTTGTTATCGCAATCAACGTCGCTGCACAATGGGCATTCCCATGCATGCTCCGTCCTCCGATGCAGCAGCCACTCCAAGGTACCACAACTGACAGTTCCCACAAGAAACAACTGGCTGAAAGTTCTGGTTGTTGGTCGACTTCCGGACTTTGCACTTGTTTCAGAACTTGAGTTTTGCACGCATTTCCATTTTGAAGACCTGACTTATTTGTATGCAGATTGTTGGTACCTTACAATCTCAGGCAGAGGTACTCAAACTTCGAAGGAAACGCCTATTATTAGACACCTTTATTTTTTGTTTGTTATGGAGGCACTGGAACTGCGGGACCATAATAGGGTCTAGGTATCTACACAGAAGTAATACCCAAAATATGTTAAATGTTGAATTAGGAATCGATATCACAGCACTCAGGACACTCCCATTAGCGCTCCATCCCCATCTTCAGCAGCAAGCGAAGAGTTCCTATTCCGATGGCACCAGTAAATATCTGGCTATATATCCGTCTTGGCCAGTTTCCCTGGTAACTCAGACCGTAATGATCTATTTGTGCGCCTCCGCACTGTTCACTCGCTCCCAAAAAGCCCTCACAACATCTAGCTTGTCATACATCAGTTCACTACCAAGTGGTGCAGAACCGGCCAGTCTATCTGCCTGCTTAGTTCCCAACACACCGGCATCAAGTAGATAAAATATCCAGAGGATGCTAACTACCCAGGACCTCTGATGGGATGCTTGGCCACTCTGCATGAAGCATGCTTGTCTCCACCTTTCTCAGCATGCTCTGTGAGTCAGTTACAATCACGGCATGTGTGTACAGCTGATTCTCAAGCCAGCGGAAGGCAGCAGAGACTGCCTCCACCTGCATTCTCAAACTAGACGTTGTGACATCATAAGCCAGGCTTTGTTGCAATAGGTGACGTCCATTCGCTTTTGCTATGAAACCCCATGCACTTCATCTGCGACTAAACACAGAGCCATCTGTATAGATAATCAGATCACCTCGGCAAGAATTGTCATGAATCATTTGTTGGACTTCTGATTCACCAAAGCAATATCAATTCTTTTATCATAAAACAGCACTGTAACTTACAATATTCATCAGGAAGCGTTGGACTTCGCCACACAGAGCCATCTGTATAGATAATCAGATCACCTCGGCAAGAATTGTCATGAATCATTTGTTGGACTTCTGATTCACCAAAGCAATATCAATTCTTTTATCATAAAACAGCACTGTAACTTACAATATTCATCAGGAAGCGTTGGACTTCGCCACTCATAGATTGCCTTTCTTACAGCCGTGTTGTGAAACCACAACTGGAGAAAAGTGTTCACGTAGCATGTTGCACCCAAGTTCTTCAAACCAACAAAATCTCCCTGTATAAGAGAAACATCAAACTCAACTTAACTATAGAACATTAATTAACTAAAAGTTTTTGGGTACTTATCATGAACCTACCCGCATAGCAAGAGTTCCTTCCCCTCCCATTTATGCCGTGTCTCTTTTCTTGTGTAATCACTGCTCACTTGCGCGATTATTTCCACACTGTGCCAGACGGTTCGTGAGTATCAAAACTGATTTTTTTTTTTTGGGGGGGGGGGGGGGAGCTACCACAAACAGTCTCGCCTTTGGTATCTCCCCTACAGTACTTTTGTTTAGTTGTACACAGGCGCTTGCAGCACCTTAAAGGGACTCATGACAACACAACCTCCCACAAACATTATATACGCCGAGCAAATGCCGAAAGAAGCCATCTCACAACAGCCCCACAACATAGGACAGGCCGTGCGATCAGCCGCAGCACGAATGAGAGGGGAAGGAACTCTCACGCCATGTGGACAAGTTCGTGAGAAGTTCCAGTTTTTGCAGAAAAAAATTTCTTATAATTCAGAAAAGAATTTAACAGACCTTATTTACATAAACGGTGCATGTCACGTTTTTTTCTTAACAACTGGCAGTTGGTGGGTGTTGTCAACACCAGCCCGTTGTGTACTGAACTCATTTCAGTATGTAAGTATGCCAAAGGTCAGAGGTAGTGTGAATGCACATGACTGTTTATGAGTATGTGATAAATCCCTCACATAAAACATCAGAAATGACTACATCCCCCCCCCCCCCCCCCCCCCCCCCCCCGAGTGCAAATTAGTCTATAAAATTACAGGTCTAGCCCTATATGCCCCATACCTCTGAAGGCGTGGAAAGGGGGTCCCTTACTTTTACTAGTACTGTGAGGTGGACTGCTTGTGGAAAATCACATGGCGGTTTAATTCAGTAGCTCCCGGTCAGTTGAATGCTGAATTAAGAATCAACATCACAGCACTCCTATAAGCACTCCGTCCTCATCTTCAGCAGCAAGCGAAGAGTTCCGATTCTGATGGTACCAGTAACTGTCTGATTGTACATCCGTCTCGCCTTTCCCTTGAGTATTGAGTGCCTGCCAGATCATCTAGTAACCCCCTGCAGAACCATTCTTCTTAGATCATAATGATCTGTGTCTCCTCACTGTTCACTTACTTCCAAAGGACCCTCACAACATCTAGCTTGTCTCTCACATCAACCCTCACAACATCTAGCTTGTCTCTCACATCAACCCTCACAACATCTAGCTTGTCTCTCACATCAACCCTCACAACATCTAGCTTGTCTCTCACACCAACCCTCACAACATCTAGCTTGTCTCTCACACCAACCCTCACAACATCTAGCTTGTCTCTCACACCAACCCTCACAACATCTAGCTTGTCTCTCACATCAACCCTCACAGCATCTAGCTTGTCTTTCACATCAACCCTCACAACATCTAGCTTGTCTCTCACATCAACCCTCACAACATCTAGCTTGTCTTTCACATCAACCCTCACAACATCTAGCTTGTCTTTCACATCAACCCTCACAACATCTAGCTTGTCTCTCACATCAACCCTCACAACATCTAGCTTGTCTCTCACACCAACCCTCACAACATCTAGCTTGTCTCTCACACCAACCCTCACAACATCTAGCTTGTCTCTCACATCAACCCTCACAACATCTAGCTTGTCTCTCACATCAACCCTCACAACATCCAGCTTGTCTCTCACATCAACCCTCACAACATCTAGCTTGTCTCTCACATCAACCCTCACAACATCCAGCTTGTCTCTCACATCAACCCTCACAACATCTAGCTTGTCTCTCACATCAACCCTCACAACATCTAGCTTGTCTCTCACATCAACCCTCACAACATCTAGCTTGTCTCTCACATCAACCCTCACAACATCTAGCTTGTCTCTCACATCAACCCTCACAACATCTAGCTTGTCTCTCACATCAACCCTCACAACATCTAGCTTGTCTCTCACATCAACCCTCACAACATCTAGCTTGTCTCTCACATCAACCCTCACAACATCTAGCTTGTCTCTCACATCAACCCTCACTGGTAGAATTCTAATACGACCAATCTGACTGGACAGTCCAAGTCCTCCAACAGAATATAATACATTGTAAGAATAACTCAGACACATGAGCCAGCCAGCCAGTCTGCCTGTTCATTTCCCAACACACCAGCATTCCCCTGAGAAAAATCCAACGGCCAGATGCATGACTAAATGAAACAGTCGGGATAAGAACACAAACCAACCCAAGATCTCACAGGCATTACACATAATGGTGATGGTGATAGGAAACAGTTATCAAACTGACGGTAAAATCGTTACCGTACCAACAAATTCCACAAGTGAGTTAAATAAAAGCTTTTAAAAACAAACCTTTTGTCTTCGAACTCTATCAGGATCAAACGTTTGTAACTTGGTTTCATCGACGGGTGCCAGCCATTTCTTTTCTCCGAGACTGTGTAGGCAAAATGGGTTTCCTTTGCAATTCCGCCTGAAGATTTAAAAAAAAAAAAAAAAAAAAAACGTGAGAGGATCGATTTCATGGCACCAGGTTGTAAAGGTAAAAAAAAAAAAAAAAAAGGTAAAGTCGGGAGATGTGAACCAGCGTCGTTGCACATGGTTACAAACCATAAGTGCTCTGCCACCAGTATGGACTGCTGATAAGAAACTGTCCGCCTGTAACTCCGTAGCTACAGCGATGTTCCTCTATTTTTCCCAGAGTGTTAACTCTGATACCCATTTCCTAGAGGCTGGGTAAACCCCGGGAACCGCCCGGTTTCGAACACCGCTGTAGGCTGCAGCGAGTCGCTGCTGGATTTGAAAGCGAGTCTCCTATCGATGCGCTAATGCGGTCCCATGTTGTATACACCATGACTCTGTCTCTCTCCGCAGAATAGCTAGCCATCTGCTGAGAGTGTCACACAAAACATGAGCTCCGTAGCTCTGGTGATGCTCCCCTAGTGTCTTTAAAAACAACATTGTACTCAGGAACCAAATAAGCCAGCAGAATCAACACATCTGGCTACGGGATGGCATGAAGCTGAAAGTAAGATTACCAGATTACCAGATGGAATGGCAACAACAACAAAAAAGTTTTAAACATAAGGGGGACTGCAGTTAAGCTAATACCAAGGAATGAATCCAATAAGCAATAACTGAAAAGCTTAAAGAAATCGGGAAGCAGAACAACGTGCACAAAACAACACAAAAAGGACGTTTCGGAGCTGAGCCTTTCGCGACATGAAACATGAAACTACCTTTCCTTTTTTTCCAATGAACAATGACTGAAAAGGGGGTCCTAATGGAGCAATGATGCGCAAAACAAGACTCTTAATGTCTATTAGCCTCTCTTGCTCAAGCCTACCTCACCTTCACATGATGGACCAAAACAAGACTCTTAATGTCTATTAGCCTCTCTTGCTCAAGCCTACCTCACCTTCACATGATGGACCAAAACAAGTCTCTTAATGTCTATTAGCCTCTCTTGCTCAAGCCTACCTCACCTTCACATGATGGACCAAAACAAGACTCTTAATGTTTATTAGCCTCTCTTGCTCAAGCCTACCTCACCTTCAAGTGATGGACCCTGTTCTTCCCAGCAATCCAGTTGAAGGTTGGGGTCTCAACCCCCAGCGGGAAACTGGATCGGACCATAAGCGAGGTAAAGGCGAAAGGATGAGCCTACTCTCCTCGAGTATGACCACAGTCTACCCTAGCAAAACAAGGTGCTGAAGTCAGAGGCAACCAGCCAAGAGGCGCACCACAGCAATCAGGATGCCACGCACACACGCATTAAAGGTGAAGGAAAGAAGAAGGAGAATGACTGAAAAGCTTGATGAAATCGGGAAGATAGTTCATGTTTTTGACGTGAAAGGCCCAGCGCCGAAGCACCATTTTCTGTTGTTTTGTGCACACTATTCTGCTTCCCGATTCGTTAAGCTTTTCAGTCATTGTTCAATGCATTAATTCCAACAACAATACTAGTTCCTCAAATGATCCATGTGCTAATTTACATCACAGGTATGAGGGTAAGTTAAGTCTGCACATCAGTGACCGGTTTACCCATTGGCTCGTCGGTAGATGACTTTGTCGCCGATCAGGACAGTAGTTGAGACTGTCTTCTTTGATCACATAAACACCGCAGAGTTCTTTTTATGGCTACTTGGTGGCAAGCAATGTTGAGCCATATTAAATGGCGCAAATAACATTGGTCACACTTATAACCAAAACCTCCCCTTTTGGTGATGCTGGTTGAATATGGCGATGTTTTATTTTAAAACTGATGATGAAGTTAAGTCTGTATCTGTGGGCTCGAAATGTCCCTGTAACTTCTCTGAGACTGTCAGATAACCATAAAAAGGAGTCCTCACATTCTACACAGGATTTACTTAACGTCAGCCAAGAATCTGCTCGTCTGTCTATGTAGTAATTCCGGAACTCTTTGACCCGGCACTCTTCCGAATACTGGCTCCAAATTATTCACTGCGAAAAACATCCCTTTGAGAGCCTCAAGAGGTTATGTAGTAAAAACATTGAGGCCATCATCATCATCAGTTTCCACTTCTGTCGGATAGCAATGATTTGACATTAAGCTAAGTGCTAAGAAAAAGTTTTTGTTCCATTGAAGCGACGTGGGGGAGGAATAGATTTTGACCAATTTTTTAAGCGTCATGGGAAGGGGTCGTTTTTGATCCATTAAAGCGTCGTGGTGAGGAATAGTTTTTGATCCACTATTCACATTACCCCTGACTCGTCTTGTGGGTTACAAGGCCACATGTTTAATTTTTTTTTAAACACACTGCCCCGTAAAACACATGTTCTAAAAAGCGACTAATCAGAACTTTGCTGAAATTGGTGGTGTTGGGGCGAAAGATGCAGATATCGCAGCCTAGCTGTAAACCACAAAACACAACATCCCAACCGCCCTTTGAGGGGTACAAAAAATATTTCGCCCAGCGGTGAATTGAACACCGGTCATCTGCTTGACAGACGGAATATTTACAACTGTTTTACCAAAGACTCAAGAGTATGGTTCAAATGAATTTACATAATAACGCAACACAAAGCATAGTTCGTAGTGTTCCTATTCCATATTTTTAACTATATGACCTATTAAGGCCCTGAATGGGATTTTTTTAACAGTGAATAATTTGTGACCGGTTTTCGGAAGAGAGCCCTTCATCCCTCCTCTAAATCCTTGGTGAACTGATAATCCTGATGACGATAGTACAAATGATAATCTCCCACAAACGGATAAGATACCACTGATGGTTTATCCTCATGACACAATGCTACTATCTCCAGTGAAGAGTCCGTAAGTCTCTCAAGAACGGCCATATCTTTCCCAGAATCCAAAGGGGGATAAACAAACTATTTATAAAGGGCCGCAAATAGTGCATGCCGGCCCACCGTACATTCAGCTCTTTCCAACATGCATGGAATGAAGCGTGACTTCTCTTGAAATGAGTCGAAGCCTTACTTGGAATGAACCGATGCTTCACTTGGAATGAAGCGTCGTCATGCACCTTGACTCACTACATATTGGCTTTAGCCACGGCTCACTCTCTGGATGTTTACTGTTACAAAACTTGCACTACTTTAACATCTAGGGTTGACAACACAAACGCCGCTCAGCTTCTTTGTACATTCTGTCAGTTTATTCTGGTCCATTTATTTCACATGTTCAAACATTATTCACACTTTATCACTCGCGACATATTCCAACACTAACCATTCGCGCGACATAAAAACGGCATCTTCAATTACTACAACCGTCTTCTCTGGCTTCTCATGATCCACTGACCACGAGGCTAGCTCGGGCTTTCCCTCGCTTCCTCGACTAGGCACAAGTATCTCGTGCTGTCCCTTGTTGCACGGACTTTCTGCTTGCCACAATGTAATCATGAGGACCATGCAAAGCACCTCATCACAACGCACCTATCACACTTCCAGTGCAGTTTTAGCAACAAAGCATGTTAAGTTCATATTTAAAGAAGAAAAATAATGTGAGTATGAGGTAAAAACACAAAGACTTGGCAAATCTTCTTTGAGTTCACGGCTGTGAGTTCTAGCGTAAAGTCAAGGTCGTTTGTCCACTTGGACTTTTTTACCAGGACCTGAGATTTGTGCGTTTTGATCTAGTCATCCCCTTGTGGGATGAAATTTTTCGTTATTTGAAGCCCTACTCTGGCTCTTGCCAGGGGGCTGCAATATAACCCGGCTATAAATATGGCCTAATGGCTGAACGTGGGTTATATTCACCCCTTTGAGGGTTGCAATTTTTCGTTATTTGAAGCCCAACTCTGGCTCTTGCCAGGGGCCGCAATATAACCCGGCCATAAATATGAACTTATGGCTGAACGTGGGTTATACTCACTCCCTTGTGGGATGAAATTTTTTGTTATTTGAAGCCTAACTCTGGCTCTTGCCAGGGGCCGCAATATAACCCGGCCATAAATATGAACTTATGGCTGAACGTGGGTTATACTCACCCCCTTGTGGGATGAAATTTTTTTGTTATTTGAAGCCCAACTCTGGCTCTTGCCAGGGGCCGCAATGAAACCTGGCCATAAATATAGCCTAATGTCTGAAGGCAGTTTCTGGGACCATTGCACGGGTGATCCTCATCCACATGGTGGCACTTTGTGTCATCGGGTGTTTATCGCTTGTGTGATGTCCTGGTGGGGTTTGATTGATTGATTTGATTTGATTCAAGAACCGACATTACAGCCCTCAGGGCATTCCCATAAGCGCTCCCTCCCCATCTTCAGCAGCCAGCGAAGAGTTCCGATACTAATGGTGCCAGTAGCATTCTGATTAAACGTCCGTCTTGTCTTTCCTCTGAGTCCTGGTGTGGTAAAAGTATACAGATAGATTTATGTGTACATCCATTTTACTGGCTTATGTGTGTGCCATTCTTGTAAAATGCCTATGGGGCAGATGTACTGCGACTTCAAGGGAAAGATGGCGGATGGATATATTCAATTGTACATACATACATACATACATACACACACATGCTTGTACTGACACCAACTCACGCTAGGAGAGAAGCACAGACAGACAAAGAGTAAGAGTTTGACAGAGACAGACAGACAGACAGACAGACAGACAGACAGACAGACAGACAGACAGACTTGCAAATAGATAAACAGACGGACACAGAGAGAGAATGAGACCACAATTTTCAGAGGCAGAGAGACAGAGATATATAAAGCCTGAAAGATAAACCCCCACACATTAACCACAAATGCACATGCAAAACAACAACAAAAAGAAACATACTTGCATGAGCCTCGCTCACAAGCTGACAGATTGAGTCGATACGCTGTCCGGATATGTTCCGCTGTGAGATTTGAAAGGTCCACACTCTCTGCCCACTGCCATGCGATCCTATCGAGAGGAACCTTCTGTTTGGGTGGCATACTGAGTCAAACGAGAGATCATATTTTAACTCCTAACCAAAACTTGTAAAGAACAATATGGGTAAAACTCCCTGTGTGGGTTCTGGGGACCCACTGTGGGGGACAGACAAGATCAGACCCACTGCCTACCTTAAAGCATGTGTAAAAGTCGAATAATTGGGAAATTCCTTCAAAGTCGGAGCGCATCTGCCTGGGAGGCAAGAAACCAGCAGTCTGCATACAAGTAAGTCAGAACTGTAAAATGGATGTGCACACAACACTCAGGTTTTGGAACAGGACTAGAGTCCAGAAGTGGACAAACAACCAGAACTTTCTGCCAGACGTTACTGCCGGTAAACCCGAAGAAAAAGACGATATGGGTAAAACACTCACAGTCTGCATCTGTGGCTTACGGGTTATGAATGTGGTTTATAATTCTGCAATACCCAGCTGAAGCAGGGTGTTGTACAGTCTCTTTGGGAGTGAGTAAACTGGGCAGAGAAGTGACCAGGAGGTCTGGGCAATGGTCAATACTCAGGGGAGATAAGATAAAAACATACAATCACACGATCATCGGTACCATCAGAGTTGGAAATATGCGCTGACTGCTGAAGATGGGGACGGAGTGTTGCTGAAATGCCCCGACACCAATTCAAATAGGGACCCTTAGAGATGCATCCATTGTAACCTAAATAATACTTTTTATGCTGAGTCTACGGGACGTAATCAATTGTTTGTATAAGTCCACATAATAATATTCTTTAAGGTAATTTTTTTAAGGTATTCTTAAGAAAGTTCTTTATATTTGATGGCCGCAGTTTGCAGGAGAAAGTGCTCTATGATCTGGATTGGAGTTGAAGGTTTTTCTTTATTTGATGGCCGCAGTATGCAGGAGAACTTAGTGCCCTATGCTCCAGATTGGAGTTAAAGGTTTTTTATTATTCGATGGCCGGAGTATGTTGGACAGCTTAGTGTTTTATACTCCGGATTGGTGTTAAAAGTGTTTCATTATTTAATGGGCACAGTATGCAGGAAAACTTACGTGTTCTATGGTAAAAGTTCTTTCTTATTTGATAGTCGCAGTATGCAGGATAGCTCAGGGCACTATGCTCCGGATTGGAGGAAATGGTAGAGTTCAGAGGTCGTGGACTGTGTCTGAGGACGGCTGGTTTGTGGACGGGAATTTGCACTGTTAATGAATTTCTGCCAGAAATAGTTTGTACTACATGCTGGGATAAATAGAGGATGTTGAATAATAGGACTTAAAGTCAAAGACTCTTGTCACACCAAACTCATTTCAACAATCATACATATGTGAGGAGCCGTTACCAATAAACGTTTACGATGTTGCCTGCCAGTCTTGTTTTCGTCAACTAGCAAAGGTTCAATGTTTTACATTTCTGGCAAATTCTGACTGTTACCCATAATGCAGTTGTTACCCATATTGCAAAATCTACCTTGGCTTTTTGTGTAGTGCGGCATCTGTAAAGTATCGCTATACAGTAACAACAGTTGGCTCTCCTTCGAATAACGGTACTAACTTATCGAGGCTAAAAAGATGAACTGGCTATCCTCCGAATAACGGTCCCAAATTATCGAGGCCAAAAATATACCCTAAGAGGGCCTCAGTCACGTGTCAATTGCGAACTTCCAGGGACTATACCGCCACCGCTGAGAGTATCCCCCACGCCGCTCCCGTGGCATGAATTGGGGCTAAACTAGATGGCTGTGACTCACGAGGAAATAAAAAAAAGGAAGCTACAGGAGATGCGGTAGCTGCTGCTCGTGAGTCCCAGCCATCTAGTTTAGCCCCAATCCACGCCGCGAGGGATAATCTTGGCGTTGGCAGAAGTCAGTGTGCAATTTAAGTCGCCGGAAGTGCGTATTTGACACGTGACTGAGACCCTGTTAGGGTATATTTTGGGCCTCGATAATTTGGGGAAATTATTCAGAGCATAGCCAATAAACTAACAGAGCCTCAATGGTGTATAAAATTAGATTTTTTTTGCAGCGAATATACCAGGGGTGGGCGGCAAATCCCGTGACTAGTCCGCCTTCCTAACGTTGCGCCCATTTCAGTTGCATGCATAACCCTTCAATCATTTGTGTCGCAGTTGGACTGCTGTGACATTTTCTGGTGGCGGTGTTGTAATTGTAATACCTGCTGCTCTAACCCTAAACCTAGGACCCAGGGGAGAAGTTGAACCTAGGACCCAGGTGAGAAGTTAAATCTAGGACCCAAGGGAGAAAAACTAGGACCCAGGGAAGAAGTTAACCCTAGGGCCCAAGGGAGAAAAACTAGGACCCAGGTAAGAAGTTAAACCTAGGACCCAGGTAAGAAGTTAAACCTAGGACCCAAGGGAGAAAAACTAGGACCCAGGAAAGAAGTTAACCCTAGGGCCCAAGGGAGAAAAACTAGGACCCAGGTAAGAAGTTAAACCTAGGACCCAGGTAAGAAGTTAAACCTAGGACCCAAGGGAGAAAAACTAGGACTCAGGGAATAAGTTAAACCTAGGGCCCAGGGGAGAGGTTAAACCTAAGGCCCATGGGATAAGTTAAACCCTAGGACCCAGGGGAGAAGTTAAACCTAGGACTCAGTGTTGGAGCTGATGGTCGGCCTGCCATGGTGATAATTCTGTGACAATTTTTGCTGTTTGCAAAATTATCGCCGAAAATGATTCCTACTTTTGCCACACTGTGCTCGCCGGAAAAGAGTCCGCAACTGATATATGACTGAGGCCCTGTCAGGGGATTATTCAGAGGAGACCACATTACAAACGAGAAAGTTCACCATAAAACTATACAGCATATTGGCAACTATGAACCTCTTTTAACTACAGTGAAAAGTCAAAAATGCAATGGTATGAACATGTACCTCTCAAAAACAATACTGCAGGGCTCAGTAGAGGGAAAGAGGAGAAGAGGCAGACCAAGAAAGACCTGGTTACAGAACCGGACTGACTGGACAGGCCACAGGCATGTAACTATGAAGTCCATCGCAGAAACTGGTGACCCAACGACACGTAGTGTTACAGGATGATGATGATGATTCAGAGGACAGCCCAACAGTTGTGAGACAAAGAGGAGGAAGGTGCTAAACTGGACACATCTTGAGAAGAAACCAACAGATAATAACCAAACAGGCACTGAAATAGGAAAGAGAAGGATTCGAAGTAAGGATGTCCAACAACAACCCAAAAAAAACACCCCTAAAATTGTTGATGGGAGAAGCCAAAGGGGTTGGACTGGATCCTGATCCATGTTATTGAAGTTGAAGGGACTGTTCATGTTGTATAGTGTAGCATAGACACATTAACGACTACAGTTTCGGCAATTTGCGGTCTTTTTGGCAATTTCCGTTACCATGGAAACCGTTTGAAACTTGCTTCCCAAATGTCGGCTGGGGTTTCGGGATGGGTCCTAATCTCTCATGAAATTTTGCGATTGGTGGGATTTTCACCCGCTATAAACAGCTGAAAATGGTGGGAACGGATCCGATTTACAGCGCATGTCTACGACAGCCGGACGTCCTCTGTTTTTCTGTTACATCAGTTTGATTAAAAATAGCGATAAGTATTTAAAGTTGGCTTTAGGCTTTAAACTTTACCAGACATGGTAATGCTAGTTATAATTGAATTCTCCGTCCAATTTTACATTTGTATATAAAATTTCTTTCCTGTTTATGACTGTTTAGATTTACAGTGAAATTTTTTCAGGCTATCGCTATTATGTGGCTGTGTCTGAGAAAAATTGTCTGCCATCTTGTCCAATGAAAACAAAGCCAAAACGAAAGTTGCGCAGAAAAAAAGAAAACTTCTTGTTTCTCAGACACAAGTTTTAGCAGCTGTTTCTTACATCTCATCTCCACAAAAACCTACATATCTCAGCTCAGAAATGACATACAAGCCTAAATAAGGTACCGTTGGAAAGAGATTGTTTACAGCTATCTAACTGTGCTGGTTTTATTGGTGTTGAGGTCATTTAAAAAATTTGACTAAAGTATAGAGGGTTGGATGAAAAGAGCTGCGAGCCCTATCTACTATCTGTATTTGACATTTTCAAGCAGTTAATCACCATGTCCCTGCTCTAAACAGAACACAAACACAATTCTAGGATGGTTAATTTGACAAGATAAATAAACTTGTTAGTACTATACTAGTACCCACTCAACATACAATTGATGTTCTTTCTCCGTTTGTTTTTTACTTCGGAGTTTTTCGATTCATCTTCTAGTAGCAATTTTACTTTTCTCAACGTTTGCGCAACTAACCACCAAACCGGACGGTTAAAGACGCAAAGCTGCACTCACAAATTAAACACACAGATATAAGAAATAAAATAAAATATTTAACCAGAAAACAGTGTTGTTATTTGACTTCAAAATCGGTTTAAACAGAGAAAAGCCTCACATTTTTATTCGCGCTTGGCAGCTCCTCCTTCGGCGGAAGTTCACGGATCTTTTCCGTAGTTACCTCCCTTGACACCAGCCATTTCACTTTCGGATTCGGAGATAATCGTTTCAATAACTTTTCTCAGTGTGTTACAGTCTTCCAGAAACTACAAGTCTTCTTTTTCTTCTTATTTTTCTTCTTCTTCTTCTTCTCCTTCTCTTCTTCTTCTTCTTCTTCTTCTTCTTCTTCTTCTTCTTCTTCTTCTTCTTCTTCTTCTTCTTCTTCTTCTTCTTCTTCTACTACTACTTCTCCTTCTTCTTCTTCTTCTTCTTCTACTTCTTCTTCTTCTTCTTCTTCTTCTACTACTACTTCTTCTTCTTCTTCTTCTTCTTCTTCTTTTCTTCTTCTTCTTCTTCTTCTTCTTCTACTACTACTACTACTTCTTCTTCTTCTTGGTCTTCACTGTCTGTAAGTTCCTGTTGACAGTTCTAGGTGTTCACCCACCTGGGGACTTGAGTCTTGTTTTTTCACCGGCTGTAAACTCCGGTGGAAAGTTCTGGTTGTTTGTCCACTTCTGAACTGCAGTCTTGTACCCAAACCTGAGTGTTGCGTGCACATCTGTTTCACATATCTGGCTAATTTGTATGCAGGCTCTTTGTTCCTTCTCTCTCAGGCGGATGTACTCTAACTTCAAAGGATGCCCCAATTAGTTGACTCCTACGACATGTTTGTTGGGGAGGCAGTGGATCTATTCTTGTTCTCCCCTTCCCCACCCCCACAGTGGTGCCCCGGAACGTACATGGGAATTAGCTCCAATGGAGATAAGCTCCCAGGGAGATTACTTACAGGGAGATTACATCCAGGGAATTAGCTCCCCGGTAGATTACTTTCAGGGAGATTACAACCAGGGAGATAAGCTCCCATGGAGATTACCTACACGGAGATTATATCCATGGAGATAAGCTCCCAGGGATATTACATACAGGGAGATTAGCTTCCAGGGAGATAAGCTTCCAGGAAGATTACTTACAGGGAGAATACATCCAGGGAGATAAGCTCCCAGTGAGATTATTTACATGGAGATTAGTACCAGGGAGATTAACTCCAGGAAGATTACAAGAAATTAACCTTCTTTTTACGTCTGTGTGGCGTCGGCCATATCATGATGGACTCGTATCTTTATGGATCAGTCGGTCAACATTATCACGAAATCCCCATCGGGCTAGGTAAAAGCACCAACAACAATTAGCAGATTAACAACAACAACAAGTTTGGGAGAACAGAAATCTCATTATTAAAACAAAGACTCTTATCCATCAGGCTTGTGTTTTCAGCACTCTGCTTTATGGCAGTGAAACTTAGTCAACCTATACGCACCAGGTGAGACGGTTAAATAGCTTTTACATGCGATGCCTAAGAAGAGTAAATACTTGGCATGAAGTGGCAGGACAAGATTACGAACACTGGGGTATTAGCAAAAGCAGGTATTACAACAGTTATCTCAATGCTCAGTCTACGAAGGTGTGAGGGGCTGGGTCACACACTGAGAATGGACGATGGCAGAGTCTCTAAGGAAGATAGGTATAAGATGTCGAGAAGGATTTCTTCTACGATATAAAGATGTGTGCAAACGTTAAAATGACTCCGTGTAGTAGTTTTCCCGAACCTATTTTTTAATACCATGCCATCCTAAATCACACGGAATGACAATAGCCCTTGCTGTCCATCAAGCAATGGATTGCAAACTGTTTCTCTTTACAATGCTAAACAGCAGAAGTGGAAATTAATGATGATAATTGTGTTTATTACCCTCCCTTATACTATGGATAAAGAAGAGAAGAAATAGTGACATTTTAATTCATGTGAGCATCACGAAAGAATAGCTAATAAACAGAATCTCGTCTCGGAAGCTGAAATATTTTGGTTATATCAAGCACCAAAGGAGACTGAAAAAAATAATAATAGCTGAAGACATGGTACCAGTCAAGAGGGACAGGGGCCGACCAACACGAAGATGGATACAAGATGTAAGTGACTCCTTGAATATAGTTCACGCGGTGGGAAAGCTGGCGAGAGACCAAGTTTGTTTCAAGCAGACCGTGTTGAGAGCGACGTTCTGCAAAGGACCACCAACATGATGATTAATGAACCTCCAGGATGATGATGATGATGATAATGATGATGATGTAGCTGAACCCGGAAATAAAAGCCCCAACCAATAGAACGTCTTCTCCTACATTCACTAGCAGACTTGCCACAAGGGAACCGGGTCTTCTTTCGTCGGCACAAGCAGATTCTGCTCATTCTCTACAACTTGTTCATATACTACAACCTAAACCAGACCACAACTCAACAAGATGACCAACAAGAAAGTCTATATTACCCGCCGCATCCCCAAACCGGGCTTCGACAAGCTAGCCGAAGGGTTTGAAGTGGACTTCTACGATAGCGATGATGCCATTCCTCATCAAGTGTTAGTGGACAAATTGAAGACGAAACGTTACGATGCCCTGTTGTGTATGCTCACTGATCAAATAGAAAAAGAGGTTTTAGATGCAGCAGGTAAGTTAACTTATGTTATAATTATAATTACGAAACAATATGGACGAGAAAGTTCAGAAAGACTTGTTCCTTGTCACAATCATTGTGACAATGAAAGCCGTAGTTTCCTGGACTTGTAAACTCAAAGTTAACGGGTTTAAATTTGATTCCTGGATTAGTAAAACTGTTTATTATGTCTTATTACAACAATATTTATTCTTTCTCCCAGTTTCCTTCCCCAATCTTCAATATTTTAGAATGTATCCAAGTTTCTAATGTTGGAAATCATGCAGACGACATTGCCGGTTCGCAGCCTTGACCTTCCACTAGTATTAGTAAACATATAAGAACATTTATATAACAAATGCGAACATAAACAGGGCGTTATCTATAATAATAGACATCAGTCTAAATAATTGTAGGATGAATGTACTGGAGATGAACAAGAAAAATTTGTTGATACAAGTTTCAGATAGGAAGAAATAAGAATGTACGTGAGAACGGACAGGTCGCGGAGATCATTCACCTTGGCAGCGAAGGTCGGGGACGTCAGGTTCAAGGACGTAATCCAGGGGTAAGGGCCAACCTTTGGGAGAGACTTAGTTGGGGAAGTTAATCATGAAAAAGATCCTAGAGGTAAAGGGGCTTTTATATTCTAGTAGGGGGTGACAGAGAAATTAGATTGCATACTGGATAATAAAAACATTGATGAGTGTATCACCGCCTTCTCCAGAAATAGAGTTGGCCAAATTGATGGTATATACTTCAGATGGATTATAAACCCAGTGTGACTATTTAGCACTTTGAAAAAATTTAAAGTGACCATTTAGTCAATCTACATTCTTTGGTCATGATATGAGAAGGAGAACTCTTGTGCACATTCTGATGGTGGAGAAGTTGTAGGGGAAAAGAGGCCAAGGCAAAAAGTCATGTTTGACATCATGGTATGGAAGGTCGTCTGTGTCAGAATTCACTGAAAGTACATGAAGGTTGTGGATAGACATGATAGCCAGCACCACACTATATGGACTGTAACATGAAAAGGATTATTTATGCAGGGTTAAAATAACAAATGACAATTGGACTGTTTGAAACAATGGCAGGTGTCAATTTATGCAGAAAAAATGAACATCGGACCGTTTGAAATGAGGATAAATTGCCAATTGGGTATGGTTGAAATAAGGGTTAGTGACACATAGTAGTATAGAGCGAGTGGAAGACCTCAAAAAAGATGTAGTGATGGCATTAAGAACAACCTTACAGAAATGAACATCAGTCTTAATAGTGCTCTTGACAGAGCTCATCAGCGAACATTACATCTCCCTCCGACACTTCGATGAGGTAAAAGGTGGAAGAGAAGAGAAGAAGAAGACCACGGTGAAGGAGCTGCAATCTGGGTAATTGATAATGGAGGCAGTGTTGATAGAGAATAAGCCCCACAGTAAAGATAAGTGACACCTCTTTGTCGTCCCCCAATTGAGCAAAGTCCTCATCATATTCACGCTAAGTGACTATACTCTTTACCATTGTAGTCAACTAACCCTATATCCTCTGCATATTTTTCTTCACTCTCTTATTATTCCCATTATGGTCTCTGGGTAGTAAGATCGGACGCCCATGTGTATTGTTGCGCACATAAAAAAAAAATCCCTTGGCAGTTGGAATCTAAAAAAATAGCCTAACGGCTCTGCCCTGGCAAAATTCGGAGTTCAAAGTCTACCCAAAGTATTTCAGGATCCTCGCCGGTGCTACAGAGTTTGAGCACTGTGCTGAGATTTTATGGACTCAGGCTTGAGTTAGAGGTAGAACGGAGCACTTATGGGTTGCTACCCTTGTGTCATGATGTTGATCTATCGTCTAAACCTAAACCTTATATTATAAATTTCTGTCATCGGATGTTAGAAGAAGAATCCTTGCATGCCATTTAGATATAGTTTTAACACATGATGGTGGAGAAGTTGGAGGGGAAAAGAGGCCAAGGCAGAAAAGTCATGTTTGACATCATGGTATGGAAGGTCATCTGTGTCAGAATTCACTGAAAGTACATGAAATCCATAATATATTCAACTTTGAATAATGTGAATCCATTATTGATTTAAAAAAAAAAAATTTGTTTAAAGCCCAGAGATGAGGGTCTACAGAAAAATGCTTCAAATTACATGAACAGTCAAAAAGAGCAATGAATGCAGATGTTTTGGAAGAGGCAAGCTCCTGAAGACAACTTATAAACATTCGAAGGAGAAAGTCTACATTTTTTGACCATGTTGGGAGAAGAGGGAAAGATTTGGTGCTTTCCCAATATCTTCCCCCAGGATGACGTCACAGGACATTCCAAAATTGTCGAGGATGGTAGGAGCGGGTTTCCCGGCTTTCTGATGCTTTTAACTAACATCTAGAACTGGGCCTAACCTCAACCCACCTACATCCCACGAGAGAGTGCACCCTATGTTCCACGACTGCATGCAGTCTATCTACCACCCCCTTAAATATTTGACTGTCTGTTTGGGGGAAGATATTGGGTCAGAACCAAAGGTTTTTTCAAAGAGAGATAGAGGAAGACAACACGAGGAGATTATTGACAGCCTGTTGTCATGGCATAAAAGGTGTCAGTGCACAAACTTATACACGCTGTTGGAGATTACAGGTTGTGGAGAGGCATTGTCACCTGTGCCATTTGGCAAGCACTTGATGGGGATAATTACCTGTGCCAGTTGGCCAGGCACTTGATGGTGATGATCACCTATGCCAGTTGGCCAGGCGCTTGATGGTGATGATCACCTGTGCCAGTCGGCAAGGCACTTGATGGTGATGATCACCTATACCAGTCGGCAAGGCACTTGATGGTGATGATCACCTATACCAGTCGGCAAGGCGCTTGATGGTGATCACCTGTGCCAGTTGGCAAAGCACTTGATGGTGATGATCACCTATACCAGTTGGCAAGGCACTTGATGGTGATGATCACCTATGCCAGTCGGCAAGGCACTTGATGGTGATGATTACCTGTACCAGTTGGTCAGGCACTTGATGGTGATGATCACCTATGCCAGTTGACAAGGCACTTGATGGTGATGATTATCGGTGCCAGTTGGCAAGGCACTTGATGGTGATGATTACCTGTGCCAGTTTGTCAGGCACTTGATGATGATGATCACCTATGTCAGTCGGCAAGGCACTTGATGCTGATCACCTGTGCCAGTTGGCAAGGCACTTAATGGGGATGATCACCTGTGCCAGTTGGCATGGCACTTGATGGTGATGATCATATGTGCCAGTTGGCAAGGCACTGGATGATGATGTTGAAAAAACTGTTTTGCACATTTCATTTCCTTGTTAGGTTTTCCAGGCCCCCATTTCATTTCCATGTTAGGTTTTCCAGGCCCCCATTTCATTTCCATGTTAGGTTTTCCAGGCCCCCATTTCATTTCCATGTTAGGTTTTCCAGGCCCCATTTCATTTCCATGTTAGGTTTTCCAGGCCCCCATTTCATTTCCATGTTAGGTTTTCCAGGCTCCCATTTCATTTCCATGTTAGGTTTTCCAGGCCCCCATTTCATTTCCATGTTAGGTTTTCCAGGCCCCCATTTAATTTCCATGTTATGTTTTCCAGGCCCCCATTTCATTTTCATGTTAGGTTTTCCAGGCCCCCATTTAATTTCCATGTTATGTTTTCCAGGCCCCCAGTTGAAAATCGTGGCCACAATGTCGGTGGGCTACGACCATATCGACCTACAGGAGTGTGCGGCCAGGAACATTTTGGTGAGTTGACTTTGTATCACAGACAAATGATAATACTGTAGACCTTTCTGACATCAGAAGGATGTTTCCAGTTTTATATATATATTATTATGTTTTATGTGTATATAATTATATATATTATTATGTTTTATGTGTATATAATTTTACATATATTATTATGTTTTATGTGTATATAATTTTACATATATTATTATGTTTTATGTGTATATAATTATATATATATTATTATGTTTTATGTGTATATAATTATATAATATATTATTTTTATGTGTATATAATTTTATATATTATTATGTTTTATGTGTATATAAATTTTACATATATTATTATGTTTTATGGTGTATATAATTATATATATTTATTATGTTTTATGTGTATATAATTTTACATATATTATTATGTTTTATGTGTATATAATTTTACATATATTATTATGTTTTATGTGTATATAATTATATATATATTATTATGTTTTTATGTGTATATAATATATATATATATATGTTTTATGTGTATATAATTATATATATATTATTACGTTTTATGTGTATATAATTTATATATATATATATATTATGTTTTATGTGTATATAATTTTACATATATTATTATGTTTTATGTGTATATAATTTTACATATATTATTATGTTTTATGTGTATATAATTATATATATATTATTATGTTTTATGTGTATATAATTATATATATATTATGTTTTATGTGTATAAAATTATATATATATTGTGTTTTATGTGTATATAATTATATATATATATATTATGTTTTATGTGTATATAATTATATATATATTATTATGTTTTATGTGTATATAATTATATATATAAATAACTAACTAACCAAATAATTATATATATATTAGATTATGAGACTGACGTGCTACCTGCTGCTGACTGGGTAACCGTGCAGAGTGGCAAGCATCACTTCAAAGTTCCCATGTGATGCCAGTGTGTTGGGAAATGAGCAGGCAGATAGACTGGCTGGTTCTGTATCACTTGGTGGTGGACTGATGTATGACAAGCTGGGTGTTGTGAGGGCTGTTTTGGGGAACCAGTGAACAGTGCCAAAGCACAGATAAATTATTACGGTCTGAAGAGAATGGCACTCTGCGAGGAGTTAAAGGGTATCTGGCCGACACTCGACACTCAGGGGAAAGGCGAGACAGATATACAATCAGACTGTTACTGGTACCATTGGAATTTTGACTCTTCGCTTGCTGCTGAAGATGGGGACGGAGCGCTTATGGGGGAGTCCGAGTGCTGTTATGTTGATTCTTAATTCAATAATATTGTTTGCAATTTAATTAAGAAATGTCGCAGCTATGGTAGTGTTCATAATGTGCACCGCCCCTGGTAGATCATCTTTTTTTCTCCTGTATATATATTTATATATGTTGTGTGCTATCTAATGTGCACACGATCAAGTGTCCACAGGTACAGATTTACACTTGACACACTGAAAGACACGACGCTGTCATCTCTGCCAAAAATCAAGTTTATTGGTACAACACAAGAGGGTATTCACAAGCCATCACACTGACAGTGGTATGCTAAGAGACGTAGACAATGATCCTAATTAGCATTAGAACATAGTCCTCTCTCTCTCTCTAACTTGTAACGTCCTCATCCTAACCACTACAGCGTCCCGCAACTCTTGGCGTGCTGTACAGAAGAACAGGAACAACTCTCCTATCAACTGGACCTTGATTCTTCTTCAGCAGACACCTCGGCTGACTGGAGATGGACCACTCGCTTCACTAGCACAAGTCCTCTCTAGCACACAGCAATATATATATATAGAGAGAGACTGAAATTATTGGGGCATATTGAGAGAATGTCAGATGACAGAGAAGTAAAAACTGTATACACAGGGGAGATGAATGGTCGTAGACCACGAGGCAGACCAAGAAGATGATGAAGAGATAATGCCCAGACAGACCTGCAAAACGTTGGTGTCAAAAACTGGAAAGAGAAGGCCAAGCAGAGAGATGAATGGAGGCGGATGATTTATGCAGCAATGAACCTCAAGGGCTCGGAATGCTGAAGAAGAAGAAGAAGTATATATATATATATAATAAGGCTGTACCGAATAGTGATTTGGCCGAATACGATTAGTGTATCATCATCATCAGGTGCCTTGCCGACTGGATTTGGCGATTTCGCCTCGCCACAATCTGCGATCTCCTGCAGCATGTATCAGTTCGTGTGCTGACACACCTCCATGCCATGCAACAAGACTGTCAAGAATCTTCTCTCGTTGTCTTTTTCTATCTCTCCTTCTACAAATCTTTCCAGGGGTCACCACATGTTCCATTTTCACTCTTCTTATAAGATGGCCGAAAAATGATGACTGTCTCCTTCTGATGTCTGTGATTAGTTGTCTTCGGGCTCCCGCCTCTTTCAAAACCTAGTGGTTGCTTTTTTTAGGCTGTCCAAGGTATTTTAAGCATTGTTCTGTAAAACCACATCTCTGAGGCCTCAAAAAATTGTTTGGCCTAGCTACCGATTGTCCAGGACTAATAGCCATATGTTAAAACTGGATGTATGTAGCAAGCAAGACAAAGATATATTGCATAAGATGTTCTTTTTTTTAATTTTAATAAAATGCAGTTTTTGCTTGTCCTATTTTGTTTTTTATTTTAGTAATGCATCTTTCATCTGATTTTATCTATGTGCCAAATTTGCATTTAAATCATCGTTCGTTCAGGCGTTCGTTTAATGTAATTTTAATGCACCTTCATATTCTCGTTCGCAATATCTTCAATTTGATTTGGGCTAAGACACCCCGAAATGAAAGAAAAAAAATATTAGGTACAGCCCTAATATATATATATATAAAATGATACAGGTATGTCTGTGTTTGTGAGTGGGTGTGTATAAAGCTTAACAGTCCCCTCCCTAACAATCTTTACCAGGTACTAGAGTACCAGTCCAAGCTACTAGCTTTGGTGTTATTACTTTTTCATAACCAATATAATTTGCAACAACAACACACAAAAAAGACCACAGTTATAACCGATATACTGCTTGCAGCGATTGAATGTGGTCGATGTTTTGTTTTCCAGTAATGGATGGAAGGATGGGAATTCAGTAATTGCCAACATGTGTTGTGGAATAGCATCCTGTCTCAGAAGATGAAATATTTTGGCCACAACAAGCGCCACGACGGATTGTAAAAAAATTATAGCTTAAGACATTGTACCAGGAAGGAGATGTAGGGGCCGAGCAACACGAAGATGGACACAGGATATGAGTGACTCCTTGAGTATGAAAGTACATGAAGCGGGAGAACTGGCGAGAGACAGAGTTTCTTGCAGACAGACCGTGATAAGAGCAACGTTCTGCAAAGGACGTGCTACATCACGATGATGATTGTGAATAGGAAGGACTTCAGCAACAGGCAAAAGCATCCAAAGACATTGTTCAGTACAAGGCACAAAATTTCATGTGCCTCCTAAAAATTGTGATTTTAAAAATATTTTGTTGTAATACGTGCAAAAGCAATTTTGTACTTCTTATGTCAAGATTACAAAAAATATTCAGATTTAAGTTAACAATATTGTTATTTTCTAGAAATATATAAAAAAGTGTTAAACTACCTTGCTAGGATGTCCCGTTTTTAGTTTAAAATATTGGAGGAATGTCCCGTTTTCAGCTACAAGTTCCCCCGCGTGGGTTCTGGGGCCCTACTATCGGAAACAAGAATAGACCCACTACCTACCCAAAAGCATGTCGTAAGAGTCGACTAATTGGGAGCTTCCTTCGAAGTCGGAGTGTATCTGCCTGAGAGGTAAGGAACCAACAGTCTGCATACAGATCTGTCAAACGGATACACACACAACACTCAGGTTCTGGAACAAGACTGCAGTCCAGAAGTGGACGAACAACCAGAACTTTTCGCCAGAGTTTACAGCCGGTGAACGCAAAGAAGACGAAGAAGAAGAAGCTGCAGGTTTTAGAAGGATGTCCTGTTTTTAGTGCACGATACAAGGATTATGGTCACCCTAGGGTAGTGTCTCCTGACTTGGGCTAGGCGGGCAGTTTGATTCTTTAGAGCTGGCAAGGCGTAAATGGACTCGTCCAGAGTTTTAAGTTACATAGGGGGGGGGGGCATAAGAATTTTTAGAACGGCTAAGGGGGGGGGGGGGGTATGACACAACAAAGGTTTGGAAACATTGGCCTTTTGAAGTTTAGCCAAACCCTCCTTATATGGAAGTGGGGAGGGGGGGGGGGGTGCTCAAGGGGTTTGGGCCCTAGATTCAGGGCCCCCTGGTGAAAGGATATCTCTACTAATGCTGTGTTCCCTCCTCAGAACATGGCTTTGCAGCCAGGTGTCAAAATGAATACTGAGCTTAGCGTGTTTGTTGTTTGGGTAACAAGATTTGTTTCGCCCCTTCAAAATCCATTTCTTTATTTATGTGTTTGTGTTTGTATTCTTTCCTTCTTATTTTGTAGAATTTCTTTCTTTTTTTGTGAAGTTATTGTTTGCTGATAGTGTTTCTGCTGTTGCTGCTGCTGCTGCTGCTGCTGCTACTACTACTACTAATACTACTACTACTACTACTACTACTACTACTACTACTACTACTGCTGTTGCTTCTACTGCTACTACTACTACAACAACTACTACTACTACTACTACTTCTACTACTGCTGCTGCTGCTGCTGTTACTACTAATACTACTACTACTACTGCTGCTGTTGCTACTGTTTCTTCTTCTCCTCCTCCTCCTCCCCTACCCCTTACCTCAGCGAAGTGTGTGATGTAGGATTAAGGATAAGCTTTTTCTAATATCATGTGTAAAGGTGTTCTTTTCTAAGCTTGTTCTTGATGTCATAATTCCATATTGTGTCAATAGATCAATAGTGGGAAAAAAAAGGAATAAAGATGGAGAAGGATGAAGAAAGAGTAATAGAAAGGAAGACAAGGTGATGTAAAAGAAAGCAAAAAAGTATAAAGTTATACCACCGGTCTGAAAGTCCTGGGCTAAAACTGCCCATGAAACATGTAGATAACCCAGGCAACAAATGGCTGCAGAAGCCAGATGTTTCGGCCAGAAGGTGTAAGTATCGCAGCCATGTTGTAAACAGGCACAACACATCTAATATTTTCAGCTGAACACAGATGAAGAAAATTTGCTCATTGAGTGGTTTTTTTTTTTTTAAAATTGACCTTGGATGCCAGGTTGACCCTGGGTGCTACGTTATGCCCTGGGTGCTACGTAATGCCCTGGGTGCTACGTTATGCCCTGGGTGCTACGTAATGCCCTGGGTGCTACGTTATGCCCTGGGAAGTAAAAGTGTCCTAATTGCAAGTTGGTCTATAAAAATATGATTCTTGTTTCATATGCCGGATGTTTTACTGGTGTGACAAGGATCCTTTACTTCCTTCCTACAGGTTGCCAACACTCCAGGTGTGTCTACAGACAGTGTGGCAGAGCTGACGGTGTCCCTCCTGTTGATGACAGCAAGGAGAATACAGGAAGGTCAGTCCAGATAGTTCTCCAGCTTCTTCTGTTTCTTCACTTCTGGTCCCATGCAGCACTTCATTCGTTCATCGGGTCGTCCAAAGTTCTCAAGTCAACAATATGGTGTATCAGTTGAAACACCCGGTTATTCCAATAACATAATCCTCAACCCCTTCGAGTCCTGGAGGTGTATCGATGGAAGCACTAGCACATAAAACGCGCCATCTTTCTGTCTTTCGCTTGGTGAATAAGTGTATCATTACTTAGTCCTGTCTATTTCTCAATGTTATCATTCCAGGTTCTTCTTTACCCTCCTCTTCTTCAACTCTTCCTCAGTGTTCCTTGAAATACAGTCTTTGCAATCGAATCATGTCTCACCTTGTGCCTGAACCAGGTCAGTTTGTGATGTTTCACCACAGCCACGAGAGGCTGCAGATGTCCTGCAAATTTGTGTGGTTATCCCAATAGAGACAAACAGACAAAATTATTAACACAATCTTTATGCCAGTTGTATGCTTTCGGTGTCAGACTTGGACATTGACTAGTTAGTTAGTTAGCTAGTTAGCTAGTTAGTTGGGATATCATCATTGCACTCCAGACATGTCCATAGGTGCTCAGATCCTTCCCTCAGTATGAACCCCAGCGTCCTGTGACTAATAGTGCCAGTTCTTTATTGATTGATAAGTCTTTTTGTATGCCTGGTGTGTTTCTCGCTTTTGGCTATGCCGATCTGAACTCCAGAGTCTTTCTTTTTGGTGAGCCATGTGGAATCACTGTCTCGAAAGTCCTCCACACTCCACACTTCTCTGAGGGCTTCAGTAATATCAACATGATCCATGGGTTGACTTTCAGCAGTGATAGCGGATCCAGCCAAGGTATCAGCCCTTTCCTTTCCACCTACACCTGCGTGTCCCAACTAAGATAAAGACAACATTGACTAAAGAGTATAAGAGAAAACTGACAGCCTGCGAAAGGAGATGATAGCCTGCAAAAGGAGATAATAGCCTGCGAAAGGAGATGACAGCCTGCGAAAGGAGATAATAGCCTGCGAAAGGAGATGACAGCCTGTAAAAGGAGATGACTGCCTGCAAAAGGAGATGTTTGAGAATTTGTAATGTGTCTCCTCCACACTTGATCTTTCTAGTGCAGATTCAACACTGACACGAATCACAATTCATTCTAGCCAGATGGCACTTCTCTCCACGGCCACACAATTACACCGGTCACAACAGCACATTTCACAGGTTTATTGCAAGGTAGCACAAGACATCAACAGATGAACCAACTTACGTTCTCTCGCCTTGCTCTCGCTACTTAGCAAACGATGGACACTGGCATGTACACGGCTGGCACAACAAACATACCGTGAAACACAACTGCTGGCCTAAACGATCATTCAATAGCGCTGGCTGTCTTGTCGTTCAGCACTAACATTCATTCGACTCTGATTCAGCACCACGTGTGCACTTCTCACTCTGGATTCACCTTCACAGATTCAGCTTCACATCCTTCCAATCTGGGGCCCAGTCACCGAATGCCCACCTCATTCTCAATCCCCCAGATCTCGCATTCACACATGACTCACTCACTCTTGTCTTTTCACCATATCTCCGTGAAACCCATGCTATCAGGGACTTAACCAATTATGCCAGTCATACACTGACGTTATCCCTATTTATAGCATCATTACAGAAACAAATAAATGACACAAAATATTAGAACAATATCCATAATTAAATTTTTTTGAGAAACGTGAAAGTAGTAAAACCAAGAGGTATAGGGTGTACAAGAAGAAGATGGATTGAAGGTGTCGCTGATACTTTAAGACTCCATACTGTCAACAGCATACTGGGCAGCCAAGCTTGCCCTGGTTCAGTTACGATCACCTTTTAATAGTGATTAGTGATTAGAAAAGATTATCATCACAGCACTCTGGATAAATCCATAGGTGCTCTGATTTCTTCCTCAAAAGCTCCACAAGTGTAAAACGACTAATGACGCCTGTTCTGTGTTGGTTAATGAAACGTCTTGTCCTCTTTGTGAAATGTTCATTTCCTGCAGCTCCAGGCTGCACCGCCATGTCCACCAGTCTAGACAGGGATACAGAGTCATGTCCTTTGGTGTGCTCTTCGGTACGGTAAGTGCAGCGCATGGCATTGATAACAGCACTTCTGTCCAGTACTGAGCCAGCCATATCAACTGCAGTGTCAGCAAGATAGTCTGCACGCTCGTTCCCTTGAACACCCGCATGACCAGGCACACAGATGAAGGTTAGGGCAGATATTCATGAAATGCTTTATGTTGCAATCCATTCATGCATGATAAATCCAGCTTGGATTTTTTACAGTTAATATCCAATGTTTAACAGCATAAATCAGAAAGTGGACACAGGAAAAGTGTATTGTTCTGTTTCCAGAATGAATCTTTTGTGTATATCTAGACATCTATATCTTGTGTGTATTTTTTTTCTTCAGGTGTCAGTATCTTGTGTGTATTTTCAAGCGTCAGTGTTTTGTTTACATGTTCAGGACATTAATGTCTTGTGTGTATTTTCAAGCGTCAGTGTCTTATATGTATTTTCAGGTGTCAATTTAAAATGTGTATTTTCTAGCATCAGTGTAAAGAGTGTATTTTCACGTGCCAGTGTCTTGTGTCTATTTTCAGACGTTAATGTCTTGTATGTATTTTCTATTGTCAGTGTTAAGTAAGTATTTTCATGTGACAGTATCTTGTGTCTATTTTCAGGCATCAACTCTTTGAGTCCCAAGGAACGCATCATACGTTCATAGGTTCCTACCTAGAAGCCCAATGAAAGCATGATGCGCCGATTTTATTAATTTCTTTATTACCCCCTGGGTCTGGCATATAATTAACTCAAAGAGTTAATATCCCATATCTAATTCCAGGTTTCCATATCCCATATCTGTTTCCAGGCTTCTGTATCTAATGTCTACTTCCAGGTGTTAATATCCTGTGTCTGTTTCCAGGTGTCAGTGCTGTGAGAAGCGGACAGTGGGGAGACTGGAAACCCAAGTGGCTGTGTGGAACCGAACTCACCGGCTCCACCTTAGGGATCTACGGCCTGGGAAGAATTGGCTTCAATGTTGGTCGTCGACTGAAACCGTTTGGATTCAGTAAAATCTACTATGTTGACGTGCAGGAGGTTTGTTCGTGTTGTTGCGAATTCATTTTACTATTTCATTACGGCATTTTTGTTCTGGGGTTAGGACAGAATTGTCGGCCCCTGTGGCTTAGGCGTTGTGAATGCGCTTTGTAATGCCGTGGTGCCGGGCTCAATCCCACCTGCGGGCCTTGCGGCGGTTTCAACAGTGGTATCAGTGATGCCGTCCAGAAAGCAATGGCAAACTACTGGACGCAAATTTGCCTAGAAAAGTCACAACAGCCAAAGAATGCTTGGGTAGTTCTGCAACATCCTGTAAAGGATGCGCAATTAACTTAAACTTGGATAGAATTAATCTTCAGCTGAATTTGTTTTCTACAACACAAAAAAGCTGAAACTTTCTTGAAGAAGAAGTATTGACTGTGTAGTGACTTCCGGTCAAGATGGCGAGGCAAGGGGATGATTTTTATTTTTGCCCGCATCTATCTAGGATTGATTGATAGAGTGGAAGTTGAGTTACATAAGTCTGAGTGATAAGAATTATCGTTACCCAAATGCCAAAAAAAAAAAAAAAATATGTGTCAAGTGATTGGTGGAACCATAAGGTGTTAAATTTGAGTCATTTCACTATTAAGCCCAGAAACTATGCTAATAACAAATTTATTCACGAAAGTGACGCAAATAACATAGAACAAAAATATAGGCGGAGACTGTTAGCAGCCTCGGCTAGCTAGCAGCAGTCTGAAAGTGGTCGACCTTTTAATTTTTTTCTCAGAAGGAATGGGAATCGGAAGTCATTTCACTTATTGCATTACAAAAATGCCAGATATCAAAATTTTAAGTATCTGCGTTTCTTTCAGTAGCTATTTGTTTCGTTTTTTTCAACAGTATATTTATCTTCTTCTTCTTCTTCGCGTTCACCAGCTGTACACTCTGGCGGAAGGTTCTGGTTGCTCGTCCACTACTGAACTACAATCCTGCTCCAGAACCTCAGTGTTGCGTGTGCATCAGTTTTACAGATCTCATTCTCTTGAATACAGACTGTTGGTTCCTTGCCTCTCCGGCAGATGCACTCCGACTTCAAAGGAAGCTCCCCAATTAGTCGACTCTTACGACATGCTTTTGGGGAGGCAGTGGGTCTATTCTTGTTTTCCCCACAATGGGGCCCCGGAACCCACACAGGGGAGTATATTTATGTATCAGCTTGTCTTTAAGTAAGACAATTAATAAAAAAAAATTTGAGATTTTATGGCAGTTTTTAGTGGTATGTTAAATTTCAGAACAGCCGAATAAAACGCACACAATTGCACCGCACTGTAAAACAGCTCTAGAATTTATTCCCCCGCTCGCACATCCTCAGGCAACAAAAATACTTAGTTTTGCTAATTCTAGTTTTTCAAAACGGGTTCATACAAATTAAATTTCAGGACAAACGAAACAATATTGTAGTGTCTATGTTGGGTGTCACTTAAGTGGTGATATGTCTGAGCGTGATGGATTAAGCCGCCACTTAAGTGGTGATATGTCTGAGCGTGATGGATTAAGCCGCCACTTAAGTGGTGATATGTCTGAGCGTGATGGATTAAGCCGCCACTTAAGTGGTGATATGTCTGAGCGTGATGGATTAAGCCACCACTTAAGTGGTGATATGTCTGAGCGTGATGGATTAAGCCGCCACTTAAGTGGTGATATGTCTGAGCGTGATGGATTAAGCCGCCACTTAAGTGGTGATATGTCTGAGCGTGATGGATTAAGCCGCCACTTAAGTGGTGATATGTCTGAGCGTGATGGATTAAGCCACCACTTAAGTGGTGATATGTCTGAGCGTGATGGACTAAGCCGCCACTTAAGTGGTGATATGTCTGAGCGTGATGGATTAAGCCGCCACTTAAGTGGTGATGTACCCAGAAATAGTTGAGCAGACATGCTTGGAAATACCTTGATTTGCATCTTTCCATCTTTCCAGGCGATAGTGTTATATTGCGTGAGGGGGAGACATGGGACTCACAGCCCATGGGGATGGCGAGTGTGACTAACAAGACCTGCCCACGTCGAGAAAAGTCTTTCACAATGATAGCATGGAATTTCATAACCATTGTTGTCAACATTTGCGTTTACTGTGTTTCTTCTCAGACGCTCTACTCTCATCCTTTCTGTAATCCTTTCTTCCTTCATTCTTATTCCATTCCTGATGTACCCCTCTCCACACAACACACTCCATGGCATGAGTCCCATGAGATACACACACACACACACACACGTAGGCACGCGCACGTTTTTCCAACGTTAAATAAGAATAAAAAATACAGTTGGGACCGACACAGACATCTACCTTAGAGGCAAGGAACCTAGTTTCTGTATACAAATAAGCCAGATTTGTGAAACTGATGTGCTTGCAGCACTCAGGTTTGGAGACAAGACTAAAGTCAGGAGGATTGACAAACACCAAGAACTTTCCACTGGAGTTTACAGCCAGTGAACGCGAAGCAAAAGAAGTTTTCTTTGGAATCTTTTCTTTGGGATCTTTTCTTTGGGATCTTTTCTTTGGGATCTTTTCTTTGGAATCTTTTCTTTGGAATCTTTTCTTTGGAATCTTTTCTTTGGAATCTTTTCTTTGGAATCTTTTCTTTGGAATCTTTTCTTTGGGATCTTTCCTTTGGAATCTTTTCTTCGGGATCTTTTCTTCGGAATCTTTTCTTTGGAATCTTTTCTTTGGAATCTTTTCTTTGGGATCTTTTCTTTGGAATCTTTTCTTTGGAATCTTTTCTTTGGAATCTTTTCTTTGGGATCTTTCCTTTGCAATCTTTTCTTTGGGATCTTTTCTTTGGAATCTTTTCTTTGGGATCTTTTCTTTGGAATCTTTTCTTTGGAATCTTTTCTTTGGGATCTTTTCTTTGGGATCTTTTCTTTGGGATCTTTTCTTTGGAATCTTTTCTTTGGAATCTTTCCTTTGGGATCTTTCCTATGGCATCCTAGATCTGGTGTCGGTCAGGTAATCAATCGGGTGCCATCTCCACGACGAAGGTTGTCTGCAGTGGATCTACAACACAGTCTGTCTCTTATCTTGGTTGTACACTCTCTGAGACTGCCATCTCCCACTTTTAACATTGTCTACCTCTTGCCTTCTGGTGTAATATATTCAAACTCTTCCACAGGTCAGCTACGCTAGAGACATTGATGCTCAGTTCACAGACTTTGAAGGACTTATCAAAAACTGTGATTTCATCTGTGTCTGCTGCAACTTGACACCCCAGGTAATGTAACCTCTTTTCAGAATACAATATCTTTTACAAAAAAGAGTAGAAATACTGACATCTCAAAAGATCTGAACATCAAGGAAGATTGGCTAATAAACAGCATCTTGTCTCAGAAGCTGAAATATTTTGGACATATCAAGCGCCACGGCGGATTAGAAAAAAATAATAACAGAAGGCATGGTATGAGGAAGGAGGAGCAGGGGCCGACCAACGCGAAGATGGGCACAGGATATAAGTGACTCCTTGAATATGAAAGTACATGAGGTGGAAGAGCCTGCGAGAGACCTAGTTACCTTCAGGCAGACCATGATGAGAGCGATCTTCTGCAAAGGACCTGCTACATGATGATGCTGATGACCTCTTTTCATTTAATTCAAAAGTCACACCATGTAATTCGACTGACAGACTTTTAAAAAATGTCATTCATAAGTATACCTTTTCCTCGACTTATCACCTATACGACTTACGACCACACACACACACAAAACCGAAAAAAAACTTCTTCTTTGCATTCGCTGGCTGTAACTCCGGCACAAAAGTTCTGGTTGTTCATCTACTTTTGGACTCTAGCCCTGTTCCAGAAACTGAGTGTTGAGTGTACATCTGTTTCACAGGTCTGAGTTATTTGCATGCAGACTATTGGTTCCTTGCCTCACAGGCAAATTTACTCCGACTTCAAAGAAAGCTCCCAATTGGTCGACTCTAACGACATGCTTTTGGGCAAGTAGTGGGTCTATTTTCTCCCCCTGTTTGTTGACACACACACACACACACACACACACAAATGGGGTCCCAGAACCCACACGGGTAGACAAATAACTACTTTAGTAGAATCAAAAAAGCCCTGTCACAGGAAACTTAAAATTGTTGCCTGTTTGAATAAAGATAGTGTTGACAAATATCAATTTGACTTATGACCTATTTGAATTACGATCTGTTAGTCCAAACAGAGCTCGGCCATCAGTTGAGGAGACCTGTTGCACCTTTTTGAAATATGTCTGACAGAGATCTTGTCGTTTTCGTCATAAGTACAGCCTGTGAAAATGACCGACCAAGATCTTGTCATTTTGGTCAAAAGTATAGCTTATGAAATATGACCAACTGAAATCTTGTCATTTTGGTCAAAAATAAAGCCTATGAAATATGACCGACAGAGATCTTGTTGTTTTCCTCAAAAGTACAGCCTGTGAAATATGACTGACAGAGATCTTATCATTTTGGTCAAAAGTACAGCTATGAAAAATGACTGGCAGAGATCTTGTCATTTTGGTCAAAAGTACAGCCTGTGAAATATGGCTGGCAGAAATCTGGTCATTTTGGTCAAAAGTACAGCCTATGAAATATGACTGGCAGAGATCTTGTCATTTTGGTCAAAAGTACAGCCTGTGAAATATGACTGGCAGAAATCTTGTCATTTTGATCAAAAGTACAGCCTGTGAAATATGACTGGCAGAGATCTTGTCATTTTGGTCAAAAGTACAGCCTGTGAAATATGACTGGCAGAAATCTTGTCATTTTGATCAAAAGTACAGCCTGTGAAATATGACTGGCAGAAATCTTGTCATTTTGATCAAAAGTACAGCCTGTGAAATATGACTGGCAGAGATCTTGTCATTTTGGTCAAAAGTACAGCCTGTGAAATATGACTGGCAGAGATCTTGTCATTTTGATCAAAAGTACAGCTGGCCTGTGAAATAGGGCTTATAGACTTCTTAGCATTTTATTCAAACTAAATAAAATAAGTAAAGGACCCTTTTCCACGCCCTTAGGCATATAGGGCTAGACCTATATTTTATAGACCGATCGGCACAAGATGGGTGATTTGGTCAGCATCACGCCAGCCGCCTTTACTTCCAGGGACTGCACTCTGTACCCACTAAAGGCTGGGTCGACTTAGGAACCAAGATCATTTTTGAAAAAGTCCGGCTCCGCCAGGGAGCGAACTCAGGACCTTCCGATCCGGGGCGAGTGTCTAGCCGCTCCGAAACAAAGACTCCCTCATTCAAAACTTACATCTCATGAAATGAGGTTTACAGGTTTATTATTCCTTTATTCTTTTTCTGTTTAGCCTTCACTGGCTGTCAACTCTGGCCCAAAGTTCTGGTTGTTTGTCCACTTCTGGACTTTGGTCTTATTCCAGAACTTGAGTTTTGCATGCATGTCTATTTTACATATCTGGCTGTTTGCCCTAAATGGGGATCCCAGAACCCACGTGGTGGGTGGGTGATGGGTCTGTTTCTTTCAAAATCATTTTCGTAGAATCCCATAATTTCTGGTCGGACATTATGGACAGACAAGAACAATAGTTGTGTATACTTGTGTGCAGACTGTTGGTTCCTCTCAGGTAAGTACACTCCAACTTCAAAGAAAACACATACAGTTGGACATGTTTGTTAGGGAGGCAGTGGGTCCATTCTTTGTTTTCCTCCATGTGCAGGCAACCCTCAAGTTCTTGAATAGACTAAAATCTGGAAGTGGACAAACAACCAGAACTCTCTGCTGGAGTTTACAGTGGATGAATGAAGAAGAGGAGAAGGAGCAGAAGGAGAAGAAGAGGAAAGAAGAAGAAGGAGCAGCAGCAGAAGAAGGAGCAGAAGAAGAAGAAGACTGTCAACAGTTGTTTTTCACCTCCTTTGTTTTTTTTCTGTTTCTTTTCCTTTAAAAGAGAGCCAGTGTGGTGTAGACGCTGGCCTCTGGAACAGAAAGCCCTGGGTTCGGGTCCTGATGGAGTCAGGCTTATTTGTGAGTGTGTGTTTTTAAAAACCTGATCCTGGCGGCCAGGTCGACCCAGCCTTAAGTGGGTACCAGGTATAGTCCTGGGAAGTAAAGGCGGCCAGCATGGATGTTAACCACATCAAACACTGAGTGCTGATTGGTTTATAAAATATCTGTCTAGCCCTATATGCCCAGTGCGCCAGAAGACGGGGAAATGGGTCCTCTACTTGTTTTTTTACAAAAGAAGGAAGAAAACAACGAAATAAATTTATCTTGTTGTTGTATTCTCTCACCAGACCCGGCACATGTTCAACAAGGAATCCTTCAAGAGAATGAAAAAGAACGCCATCTTAATCAACACCGGCCGTGGCGGGGTCATTGACCACGACGCCCTGGTGGAAGCCCTGAAAAATGGCGACATTCAAGCTGCCGGCTTGGACGTCACCGAGCCAGAACCTCTACCCAAAGAACACCCGCTTGTGGCAATGAATAACTGCGTAATTCTGCCCCACATGGGAAGTAACACCTGGGATTCTCGTAATGCCATGGCGGAAATTGCGGCTCGAAACTGTCTCGCCGCCATATCTAATAAAACACCCGAAGGAATTGTCTTTGTCCAGTGATGAAGATACCATTAAAAATCTGTCTGGATTGCCAGGTTTTTCTAACAAGACCTATCATTTTTGAAATAATTGAGCTATTTGATATTGTTTGTTGAAAAAAACTTGAATTTAGTTTACTTGACTTTTAGAAATAGTGTATCCATTCCCCCCCCCCCTCCCCCCCCTTTCCCCACCAATCACCCCGACTTTTGTATCCTACTATGTTTGTAATCTGTTATTAAATCAATTATTGTTGTTTAAAAAAAAAACACTATAAGATTTGTCAGCCTGATATTTAGAAGTAGTTTACCCTTGCCTTTTTCTGTTTCTGACCTTGTTTCCGTTTACTGATTTTAATAAAGTTTACATTCTGGGGGTATCAGTAACAGTTTACCAGGTTATTCTCACCGTTGATATTTTTTTTATTGTTTTCAGATATTTTTTTATTGTTTTCAGATATTTTTCCCTTTGTACTTTCTATAAGCATTTAGAATACTGTTTTTTTTCTTCAAAATTTGTGCCATTGCTTGTTTTTAGATATTATATGTTGTTCGTTTATCATGATTGGTCACTGCAGAAATGGGGATATATTGGCAGTTACAGGCTTGTGTGTCACAACCGGGAGTGATTAGATTTAGCCTTCTCAGATTGAAAGAGTTAACGCATGTTGTTGTTGTTGTTGTAGCTTATATCTGTATTTGATTGATTTGATTTGATGCAAAAACCGATATCACAGCACTTGGGGCATGCCCATAAGCTCTCTGTCCCCATCTTCAGCAGCCAGCGAAGAGTTCCGATACTAATGGTGCCAGTAGTATTCTGATTAAATGTCGGTCTTGCCTTTCCTCTGAGCCTCGAGTATATGCCAGAACCTCTCGTCACCCCCAACTGAATCAATCTCACCACACTGTGGTGATCAATCTGCTTCTCTAAACTGTACATGCTCTCTTACAAGGCACTAACCACGTCTGCTTTATCATGCATCAGTATTCCACCAAGCTGTACAGAGCCAGCCAGTCTGTCCGCCTGTTCATTTCCTAACACACCGGCATTCCCTGGTGAAAAAATTCAGGCAATACTCCTCACCCGTGTCCTCCTTCGTAGCGAAGCATGCCACTCTGCACGAAGCATGCCTGTCCTGATCTTCCTCAGCATGCTTTCTGAGTTTATGTCTGTATTTCTTCTATTTCCTGATGCCTGAATGATTCTGTTCGGTTATGCTTGTGAGCTAAAAATATTTGTTTTCATTTACATGTTAGATGTCTGCTCATGAGTTTCGACTTTGAAGCTGTTTTTTGAAGCTGCTTAAGTTGTGTACGTTAGTTTTGTATCCTCTACAGGATCTTGCAGAACCAACCACAGCATTTTTTTTTTTGGCTGTTGTGGTTTTTCTAAAGGAATTTTATATCCAGTAGTTTGTCATTGCTGCTGAACGGTCAGCTCTCAGTACCACTGTCAAAACCAACGTAAGACACATTGTCCAAAGCTGAGATTGAACCCGGCACACCAGCATTACAAAGCACGTTCGCAATGCCTGAGCCACAGATGTCAACGCTTAAGTTATACATTACGTTAAAAATATGTATATTGAATCTGCTTCTCCTGTCTGTTCTTGCAAAGCTGGCAATTTGTGTTGCGGTTTACAGCTAAGCTGCAATACTCCCCACCTTTCAGCCCGACACATCCAATTTCAGCGACCCCAAAATTAGCTGTCTTTGACAACCTGCTTGTTTTACAAAAGACAGTAAAGCTCAAACTAAAGACAGCATTGCAGATATAGATAATGTATTTCAAGCGAACAAAAGAAGACAGCAGGCTTGTTTTACAAAAGACAGTAAAGTTCATACTAAAGACAGCATTGCAAATATATATGTATTTCAAGCGAATGAAAGAAGAAGACAGCAGGCTTGTTTTACAAAAGACAGTAAAGTTCATACTAAAGACAGCATTGCAAATATATATGTATTTCAAGTGAATGAAAGAAAAAGACAGCAGGCTTGTTTTACAAAAGACAGTAAAGTTCATACTAAAGACAGCATTGCAGATATAGATAATGTATTTCAAGTGAATGAAAGAAGAAGACAGCAGGCTTGTTTTACAAAAGACAGTAAAGTTCATACTAAAGACAGCATTGCAGATATAGATAATGTATTTCAAGTGAATGAAAGAAGAAGTAGACAGCATGTTTGTTAATGGGTCTATTGCCACCCCCCCCCCCCCCTCTTCCCCCATCAATCCGATGCCGATTGTCTAAAAATATATGTCATGTCTGGCACCATATGAAGGAAGAATGACCTCAGCCTCCTTGGTCTACCAAAGCCTAAAATGAATACCAGCTGAAGTCCTTTGAAATGAAAGTAGGCCACTCACAGACTGGTGAATGGTCTATACAACATCTGGGTCTAGCACCATATGTGCTGTTGGTGTGAAACGGGGCCTTTCCTTGTTTATGGGTTTGTATGTTAAATTGAAGAGAGTGATAAAATGTTACATAGAGCCTGTTCTGTTGTGTGGCTGCCTATCTTGGAATGTCGTGAACAAATTAGGAAGAATTTGGAAGCAACAGAGATGTGGTTTCTGAGACGAATGTTACAAATACCTTGGACGGCCAGAGTAACTAACAACTATTGCCTGAAAGAAGCTAATGAAAGTAGATCTCTATATACAACAATAAGAAAGAGATAAATGCTGTTCTTTGGCCACATAATGAGAAGAGAGACATTGCAGAACATCGTGACAACTGGAAAGAACAGTAAAAAAAAGAGGTAGAGGCAGACCAAGAGAGATGATGCTGGATGGGCTGAAACGATGGCATGGAGGGATATCATCAAGAGAGCTGTTCCAGGCAACCAGGGATCGGGATCTGTGGAGACGTTTGAACGCCTACGCCAGTTGGCAGGTCACATGATGATGATGATGGTGTTAAATTGAGAGGAGAAAGAAAATTCTCAAAGGCTATATAGATCCTATCTTCATATATGCAAATGAATCATGGACAGTTGGTAGGTTAGTGAAAAATTGTGTGAAAGCTGTGGATATGTGGTGTTATAGACGAGTGATGAAATACCCTGGACAGATAAAAAGAGGAATGAGGAAGTCTTGAAAGAAACCGACACAGGAAGAGAACTGATTGTTCACATCAGAAAGAGACAATCTACATTCTTTGGTCGTGTGATGAGAAGGAGAAAACTGGAGTACATCATGACAGTAGGAAAGTTGGAGGGGAGGAGAGGCAGAGGGAGACAGTGAGAACAGATGCTGGACAGTTTGACATCATAGCAAGGAGGATCATCTGTGACAGAGTTGATTGAAAGTATACAAGACAGAAGGTTGTAGACAGACGTTACTACCAATGCCACACAGCATGGATTTTAAGAAGAAGACGTTAAATTGGAAGGAATCCACAATCTTCTAATCCGCAGGGGAGCGTCTAGCCGCTACATTACGGCGGCTCCCTCAAAAAAATAATTTATTTCTCTCTATATTCTTTTTAAGCAGAGAAATACTTGCATGTCACAAGTTGGTTGAGCCACTATTAAAATGTCATTATCATGTCACCATGTTCATCTGCACCCTGATGCTTAACACTCTTGACATCCTCAACAACAACACTAAATGGTTACAAGACAATAGCAGGGTTATTGTAATTTCTATATCATTTTGAAGGTTTTCATTTGAAGCCTGCTCGTACAAACGCTTGTTATGTTGTAAATTATTCCGAAATGAGATCTGGAATATTACACGATCTCAAAAGATCACAATTTAAATCTAGTGAGATTGTTACTTTTTAGCTTGTGTGTACTGTTTATATAATCACTGAAAGTTTACAACAACAAAAAGATACAACGTTGATGCAAGAAGGAGACTTGTTGCTTTATATGTTTGTGGTCATTGTAATCATCATCATCATCATCATCATCTTCCTCTGTACTTCGCCTCTTCTGTGTTCGACATCAGTCATGTTAAACATTGAGTCCCGTCTGGGTCACAAATAGGATTGTGCGTTTAAGGTCGCCACCGGTTCCCCCATAGCTTCTCTCGCAATGTGGCCCCCTTGGGCCAGATCCACAGTCTTTGCTGGGAGAGGTCAAAGGCAGTACTGTAGTATGTGCTCAGGGGTCTGTCTTTCTACTCCACTATCACAGGCAGCAGATTCTTTTATGCCTATCCTGTGCAGGTGTGCTCGAAGACCACAGTGTCCAGTCCGAAGTCTAAAAATTGATGTTTGTTCTTGTTGAGTTTGTTTATGCTGTCACTCTCTGGTCTGTAATCTCCGTTCTGCCTTCTCCACTTCCGCTTGAAAGACTGCTTTAGTGCTGTTTTGGTTTCCTGTAGCTGTGTGGTGGATGAGGTTGTGGAAGATTACTCCCAGCTTTTGCCAACTCATCTGCTCTCTCATTTCCTTTAATTGGCCTCAACTTTGTCAATCTTTTAGGATCACAGTTGAGGCCTCATTGAGTTAATCGAGGAATCAACAAAATAATGGGTATACTACAACCTCAGGGTTCAAATACACAATCCCTGGTGGGAGACAAATGTGTTGTTGAGTGATTTAACATCAACATCATCAATTGCCTTGCCAGCTGGCATAGGCGTTCATGTATCTCCTTAGATCTCGGTCTTTGGTGTTCTGGATCAATTCCACTGATGATATTCCTCCTTGCCACTGTCTTAAGCCATCCACCATCATTTCTCTTGCCTCTTCTACCAGCGATCTTCTCAGACATCACAATATTTTATAGTGCTCCTTTTCTCATCACATGACCAAAGAACTTTGTTTGTCTATCTCTCATTGTTGTATATAATGTTTTACTTTCCTTAGCCATTTCCAAGCAATCATTGTTAGGTTTTAATATGTTACTGACATAAACAGGGCTAAATTCCAGAAGTGGACAAACAACCAGAACTGTTCGCCAGAGTTTACTGCCAGTGAACATAACGAAGAAGGGCAACATTATCTTGAACTTCTTCTTAGTCTTTTGTCATCTCACTGATACCAGGCTGTAGCCCAGTGTTGTGGT